GGCAGTGGACAAGGTGGTGAGATGGGAAGAACATGTAGAAAAAGCTTTTTCCTCTCAGAGGCTGCTGGTATTTGTAGAATACAGAAGACACACATGTAAGATGCCAGAGTTAAAGACAAGGAAGACAGCATGATAAACAATAAGAAAACCAGGTCTATTTTCCAAAGGCTGGCATCAGGGCAGGACAGTCAGAATAAGGGAGAGTTGTCACAAAAAAAATAAAAATAAAATAAAATAAAATAAAATAAAATAAAATAAAATAAAATAAAATAAAATAAAATAAAATAAAATAAAATAAAATAAAATAAAATAAAATAAAATAAAAAATAAAAATAAAATACCTGTATCTTTTTGAACCACAGAAAGTGAGAACGTGAGCTTTGAGAGCAGCACCAGGTGGTAACTTGGGAGCGTGAAGCCCATGACCCAAACAGCAGCAACCAGGTGGATGCAGATCCAGTGCTTCATGACGGCAGCATAGCACAGAGGCTGGCAGATGGCAACGTAATGGTCAAAGGACATGACAACAAGGAGAACAAACTCTGCAGCACCCAGGGCAAAATAGAAAAAAAGGATGGGCAAAGCAGCCACCTACTGAGATTGTTCTCCTGCCAGAGCTCAGAATCACCAATAGTTTGGTGCTTGTGGAGGACGTAAACCAGGTTTCCAGGAATGCCAGATTGCCAATGAAAAAGTACATGGGGGTTTGCAGGTGGTTATCTACACACACCAGGAAAATGATGGCTGCATTCCCCATCACTGTAGTCAGGTACATGAGTAGAAGGACCAAGAAGAGAAATAGCTGTAGCCTTTGGTCGAGCCCCGAAAAGCCCACAAGAATGAATTCAGAAATGACAGTTCCATTGCCTGCTCCCATGCACAGTTTCCATTCATCCCGCTGAAGCATGAACACAACAAAAACAAGTAGAATAATTTCATGGTCTGGACAGACGGCTATGTCCTTCCTTCTCTCTTTCCTTGCTTGCAAGCTTCCTATAAAACAGAGAGAGAGAGAGAGAGATTCCTTTGGACCTTCCTCACACCATGACTTTTCTATGTCACATATCAGGAAAGGTCCTCAGAGAATCTCTTGTCTTCTTTCCAACTTTGTCCATCGGCCACAAACGATTCTTTCTCAAGAGCACAGGGCTAACAAGGGGTTGTTAGTGATTGCACCCCATTCCTGAGAAAGTCCACATTCACTCAGAAGAACTGAAAGCATCCACCATACCAGTGTTTCAAAAGGAAATCTCATTTCCTGCACAAATAATTTCTATTACATAGATAAACCATTGATTCAAATATGTACGTTGAAAGTTATACTGTCTCCTCTTCAGTACTTCCCTTTTTGGACTAGCGACAGCTGGGGAATCCAAAGCTGATTTCAAACAGGCAAATGTCAAGTATTGCTTTTGTAATGCCCTGGTTTCTTCCTTATCACCTTCCGTTGTATCTTTAGGAAAGAGGGAAAATGGGGCCCAAGTGTAGCTTGCCTTCTTTAGTACTCTAAATTAAGGGCAAAATTAATTATGGTCCCACGAGGTCATTGGAAACAGATCTGTCACACAGTCACATCTGACCTCATTCTACACTGAAATGCAGTTGTTTCCAAACAGTTGCTCTTTCCTCTTGCTATCAAATGTCCTTATCTAAATGCCTTACTTTTATGAGACGTGGAAAAATCTTGTCATCTTCAAAAGCTTCAGGACAGTCCTTGTTGTACAAAGAGGAAGTGCTTAGAAAAATCAAAGTACTACCATGCAGGTTTATATTTCAGCTGTCTGAAAGTCATATCCTTCAGGTTGAGCAATTTAACTTACTCCCGTACCATTAGTGCAGAGAGAGAGAAGAGCACCTGGAAGCGATTCCTCACCTTTCTTTCACATGGCATCCCATATCTAAATGGATCTGGGAGAAATAAAGTCTTGAGAGGTTAGATATATCCAGCTTTTTTTTTTCTTTGTTATTAAGCAATGACTACAGTTGCTTAGCAGTTTCCTGAGATCATACCTGTTTATGACCCAGAAAAATTTGGCACCTTGATTGTCAATCAAATGTCAGTCTGGCATCTCCAATGTCACCATGAGTCTGTTTCTGAATAGCTCCCTCCTGGCTTTTGTCTCCATTCAATGTGCTGGGAGATGACATAAGCAGCTGACATCCTGCTTCCTGGTTTGTGCCCACCTGAACCAAGGCAAGAGGAACGCATCAATGATCATGATGAGGGAATAGTGCCACCCTCAGCAAGTATGCTGATGATACAAAGCTGAGAGGAGTGGCCAACATGCCAGAAGGCTGTGCTGCCATTCAGGAAGACCTGGACAGGCTGGAGAGATGGGCAGGAAGAAACCAAATGAGGTTTAACAAGAGCAAGTGTTGAGTCTTGCACCTGGGAAGGGACAAACACATGTTTCAGTGCAGGCTGGGGGGGGACATGCTGGAGAGCAGCTCTGAGGAGAAGGACCTGAAGGTCCTGGTGGACGACAGGTTGACCATGAGCCAGCACTGTGCCCTCGTGGCCAAGTGGGCTAATGGGATCCTGGCATACATTAAAACGAGTGTGACCAGTAGGTCAAGGGAGGTGATCCTCCCCCTTTATTCTGCCCTGGTCAGGCCTCACCTGGAGTACAGTTCTGGGCTCCCCAGTACAAGACGGGAATCTTCTGGAAAGAGTCCAGTGGAGGGCAGCAAAGACAATACGGGGCCTGGAGCATCTTCCTTGTGAGTAAAGATTGAGACCTGGGTCTGTTCAGCCTTGAGAGGAGAAGACTGGGAGGGGATCTTATCAATATTTACAAATACCTTAATCATGGGAGACAGTGGGATTTGGACAACCTCTTCTCAGTGGTTTGTGGGGTTAGGACAAGGTGCAATGGTCAAAAAATTGATCATAGGAAGTTCCGCACCAACAAGTGAAAGAGCTCTTCATGGTGAGGGTGACAGAGCACTGGAACAGAATGCCCAGGGAGGTTGTTCAGTCTCCTTCTTTGGACATACTCAAGGCCCGTCTACACACCTACCTGGACAACCTGCTCTAGGGAACCTGCTTTGTCAGTGGGGCTGGACCTGATGATTTCTTGAGGTGCCTTCCAACCTCTAAAATTCTGTGACTCTGTGATTCTGTACTCCCAACTCCTGAGGGTTTGTGTGGGGCGTGGGAGGGACCTGAGCCCCCTTATAGCCTCTGGATTGCTAACAGTGAAAGAGATGCCTTGGTTGACTCAGCAGAAACCCTTCCCTCAGCAGAGGGAAGGGAGATCCCTCCCTGCCCTTGCCTGGGTGCCCTGCCTAAAAACAGGATATGGAAAAGTGATTCTTGGACATCATACCTCTTCTGAAATGAAGAAAGACAGTGCTCCCTGTCCAGTGGAGGGAACCAACATAAATGTTTACTTCAGTGTGTTTCAAAGTTGATTCCTCCAGAGACCCAGGGACTTGTCAAGAGTTCCCTGTGCTGATGAGCTCGTCTGGGCTCCTGGGCCCAAGGGGAGCTCCTGGCAAGCGGGCAGCACTGCAGAGAGACAGCTTTGCCCAGGACCAGCTCCTCTGCACTGCCTGTAGGGGACAAGGACAGCTGAGAGAAGAGAGGGAGGTGTTAAAGGCAGTGTGTAGGGGGGATGCTGAGAGCTCACTGCAGGAGAACTCTTCACAACACTTCACAGAGTAAGTATCTGGCAGAAAGGTACAGTAGATGAGTGTCCCCCAGGAGTCTTCTAAACCTGCCATATCCCACGAATGATTGGACATGTCACAGTGTCTGTCCTGGCTTCTCTAGTGTGGAGTATGTTGGTATTCCTTAGACAAATGATTACCTGCCAAAGCTGTCAAAAGGACAGGACTTGAGGGTTCCTTCCCATGGGGCCAGATGCAGACTGTGCAGCCAAGATGCAGGCAGGGGTGTCCAGGGCTGTGGTGCAGAGCAGGGTCCCTGCTGTGCCCCAGGGGCTGTGTGCTGGGGCAGGGCCTCTGTTGCCTGCCAGGCTCAGCACTCAGCCTGAGCAGGGAGCTGCCCAGGGTGCTGTGGGGAGAAGCTGTGGGTGGAAGGAAACCCCCCAGCAAGACAGGGCAGGGTCCTGCTGTTTCCCAAAGGCTGATGCCTGGGTCAGGCTGCTCACAGCTCCACAGCACTCCCAGGACATCTCTGGGGTAGGTCCTTGACAGGGAAGACCAAGGCAGAGGCTACCTGAAGGGAAGCAGCTGCCAGCAGGGACAGCTCCAGGCAGCAGAGACCTGGGGAGGGAGGGAGAGGGAGCTGATGCCTGAAACACCAAGGGAGGGGGTATTCAGGCACTCCCTGCCAGGCCTGCAGTGCAGGCACTTTCTCTGCAGCAACCCCCTGCTCTCCTCTGCTACCCAGCACAGCCTCTGCCTCAGGGGCTTTAGGGTATGAGCCACATCCTCCTCAGCGGGACCTCCAGAAGAGGAGAGGAGCCTGTGTCCTGCAAGGTGACAAAATGATGAGGCTAAGAGTACCTGCCCTGCAGTGTCACTTCCAAAGGTGGCATGCAAGTTTGGTAAGGTGAAGGCTTCCCTGCATGTCCATCTGCCTTTCTCTGTGTCAGCTGTTTGGAGCATTGTGGTATTCTTATTTCTCCACCTGTGTGTGGCTTTCCTACTCTCTTTGTCTGGGGTGCAGGTTGGTGTTCTTCAGGTGGGTGCGGCTTCTGTTCTGACACGGATGGCTGGTACCCTGCCCTGAGGGTGTCTTCATGGAAACAAGGTGCCCAAGCTCCATTTTAAACTGTCAGGCACACTCTTATCCAGTCGGGAGGGTTAGAGAATGAGCTGACTCATCACTCATTCAGCTCAGGGAACAGTGAGTTCTGTGAGAGGAGTGTTTTCTTCAGGGAAATCTGCCTAACTTGTCACTGTCTTCTCTTACATGGATAGCCAACCATGTCCAGATGCAGCAAATGTCCAACAGGAGCTTCCCCAATGAGTTCCTCCTCCTGCCATTCGCAGACACACGCCAGCTGCAGCTCCTGCACTTTGGGCTCTTCCTGGGCATCTACCTGGCTGCCCTCCTGGGCAACGGCCTCATCATTACAACGATAGCCTGCAGCCACCACCTCCACACTCCCATGTACTTCTTCCTCCTCAACCTCGCCTTCCTCGACCTGGGCTCCATCTCCACCACTGTCCCCAAAGCCATGGCCAATTCCCTGTGGGACACCAGGACCATTTCCTATGCAGGTTGTGCTACTCAGGTCTTTATGTTTGTTGCCTTTATCACAGCAGAGTTTTATCTTCTCACCTTCATGGCCTATGACCGCTATGTTGCCATCTGCAGACCCCTGCACTACGGGACAGTAATGGCTAGCAGAACTTGTGTAACCATGGCAGCAGTTGCCTGGGGTGCTGGTGTTCTCAGTACTGTTCTGCACACTGCCAATACCTTTTCCCTCCCCCTCTGCCAAGGCAATGCCCTGGACCAGTTCTTCTGTGAAATTCCCCAAATCCTCAAGCTCTCCTGCTCAGATGCCTACCTCAGAGAAGTCCAGTTCATCATCTTTTGCTTTTGTTCAGGTACAGCATGTATTGCTTTCATTGTTCTGTCCTATGTGCAGATCTTCAGGGTTGTGCTGAGGATTCCCTCGGAGCAGGGACGGCACAAAGCCTTTTCCACGTGCCTCCCTCACCTTGCCGTTGTCTCCCTGTTCAGTGGCACCATCATGTTTGCCTACGTGATGCCCTCCTCAATCTCTTCCTCATTTCTGAACCTTTTGCTGGAAGTTCTGTACTCAGTGGTACCTCCTATAGTGAACCCCCTCATCTACAGTATGAGGAACAAGGAGCTCAAGGATGCACTTAGAAAACTGATGGTATCAATGTTTTTCAGTACTCATAAAGTTCCTTGCCCTGTCTACAAATGAACCCCAGTCCATCCCATTCCAGCCTTGGGTTTCCTTTGTTTTTGCTATTATTAATATTAATATTTTCTTAGTGTCATTTTGACTGCTTGTGTTTCTTGCATCTACACATAAATATGAGGACTCCACCCTCTGCTACAGATGAACGAACCTGCTCTGTCTCGTGTTTAGGCTGTATGAATGTGTTCCTAACAGTGAGAGAATGCACATCTCTGCAGCCCAGGATGTGATTTGCTTTCTAGAATATAAAAGTGCGCACTGATGGCTCATGTCAAGCTTTTCATCCAGCAGTACCCTCAAATCCTCTCCTCCAGAGGTTTGCTCTCAATCCTCTCATTGCCCACTCAGTACTAATATTTGGGATTGCCCTGAGCCAGATGCCGGACCTTGCACTTTGCCTTGTTGAACTTCATGAGGTTTGTATGGGCCTACCACTCAAGCCTGTCAAGGTCACTCTAGATGACATTACTTCCCTCTAGTGAGTCAACAGCACCACACAGCTTGATGTCAACAGACTTGCTGAGGATACACGCAATCCCATTGTCCATTTAACCAACAAAGATGTTAAATAATACCAGTCCCAATACCGAGGAACACCATTTATCAGTACTCTCCACTTGGAAATTGAGCCGCTGACCACAACTCTTTGAGTGTGACCATCCATTCAATTTCTTATCCACCAAGCAGCCTATCCATCAAACCCCTGTCTCTCCAATTTGAAGACAAAGATGTCATGTGGGACAATGTCAAATGTTTTGCACAAGGCCTATGTAGTAGCTGAAATCACGTCTAGCGTTGTTTCATATGAGCCGGCAGTGTGCTCAGGTGGCCAAGAAGGCCAACGGCATCCTGGCTTGTATAAGAAGCAGTGAGGCCAGAAGGTCTAGGGAAGTGATTGTCCCCCTGTATTCGGCTCTGGTGAGGCCGCACCTCGAGTACTGTGTTCAGTTTTGGGCCCCTCGCTACAAGAAGGACATCGAGGTGCTCGAAAGAGTCCAGAGAAGGGTGACAAAGCCTGTGAGGGGTCTGGAGAACAAGTCCTACGAGGAGCGGCTGAGGGAGCTAGGTTTGTTCAGCCTGGAGAAAAGGAGGCTCAGGGGTGATTTTACCGCTCTTTGTAAGTATATTAAAGGAGGCTGTAGTGAGGTGGGGGTTGGTCTATTCTCCCGTGTGCCTGATGGGCTTAAGTTGTGCCAGGGGAGTTTTAGGCTGGATGTTAGGAAGAACTTCTTTACCGAAAGGGTTGCTAGACACTGGAACAGGCTGCCCAGGGAAGTGGTGGAGTCATCATCTCTGGAGGTCTTTAAAAGACATTTAGATGTTGAACATAGTGATATGGTTTAGTGGGGACTGTTAGTGTAAGGTCAGAGGTTGGACTCGATGATCTTGAGGTCTCTTCCAACCTAGACAATTCTGTGTTTCTGTGATTCATTCAGGCTGTTTCTCAGTGGATATTACCCTCAAAGTGAAGTGACCTTGAGACACTCTGTCCCACAGGACTTGATGATACCCCTAGGGAATAGCTTATGGCACTTGGGCTCATTTCACGACACTGATACTATGTGCAATCTCATGTGAACATGGCAAACAGGGTCTTTGGATGTAGTCTGCATTCTCTGCAGAAGAAGAAACCACTTGTTTCAGCTGGGGCGAGAACCCAATGCTGGGAACAGTGGTTGCAAGGGGCTGCTCTGTGACCATTGCTCCATGCAGCATCTCCAAGGGTGTCCAGAGAACAAGGGCAGAGAACAGACCCTCTCAATGTCATTAATATAGAATCATAGAATCGTAGAATCATAGAATCATAGAATGACCTGGGTTGAAAAGGACCATGTAGTTTCAACACTCCTCCTCTGGGCAGGGTTGCCAGCCACTAGAGCAGGCTGCCCAAAGCCACATCCAGCCTGACCTTGAATGCCTTCAGGGATGGGGCATCCACAACCTCTCTGGGCAACCTGTTACAGTGCCTCACCACCCTCTGAGTGAAAAACTTTCTCCTAATATCTAACCTAAATCTCCCGTCTTAGTTTAAAACCATTCCCCTTTGTCCTATCACTAACACAGATAAACAGGCATTCCCCCTCCTGTTTATACGCTCCATTCAAGTACTGAAAGGCCACAATGAGGTCTCCCCAAAGCCTTCTCTTCTCCAAGGTAAACAAGCCCAGTTCCCTCAACCTTTCTTCATAGGAGAGGTGCTCCAGCCCTCTGATCATCTTCGTGGCCCTCCTCTGAACCTGTTCCTTTTTCTTTTTTTGGAACAACTCTGATGACAGTGTTCAGAACAGGAGCTGGCCTGTTATTACCTCAGCACTTCTGTTTCAACCAAATCAAAAAAAAAAAAAATGCCACAAGACAAGTTTGATGTCCTTCTTCTCTAGTGGTGCCCCAAGCTGCACACATGACTCAAGGTAAGGGTCACACCAGCAGACAGGACAGTGGGACAAGCCCTCTCCTTGACCAGCTAGCTCTGCTGTGCTTAACATAGCCAGGGTACATGTGGCCCCTTCAGCTCTCAGGGCACATGCTTGACTCAGATTCAACTTGTGCCAGACCAAAAGATCAACATGCCTTTTCATGGAGCTGCTCTCCATGGCCAGCAACCCCCAGGGCCTTCCTCCTCCTCAGGACCACGTTGAGCCCAGAAGAGGTAGATGGGGCTGCAGCAGGGCCATGGCACCTGTGTGTCATAGTGCTGCCAACCAGCAAGGCCCAGTCCCAATGGCCTGGGGCAGGGTGAAGGGGGCCGGCTGAAGTGTCCCCTGCCAGCCTGCCAGATGTGGCCCTGGGGACAAGGCTGGCTTGGGGACAGCCACAAGGACATCTGACATCAAGTTTTTGAGGATCCCAGGGAAGGGACAGGGGGGGGCCAAGGAAGGAGGACTGGAGCCTGGAGCAGCCTGCAGGAGGTTTTCTGCTACAGCTGCAGCTCCCAGCAGGGATCCCACCAGGACTGAAAGCCTGCTTCAGCCTCTGGGGAATGGACACAAGCTCTTGGTGAGCTGAGAAGAGCCACAGCCACCACCAGGAAAGAGTATGCATTCCCCACAGGTTCTGGAGTGATCCAGAGGGTGTTGGTGCAATGGCGACAGTGGGAAGCTGCCAAGAAGATGAGCCTGATGCCATCTTGGACACTGGGTGCCGGGGTGCAGTCTGCAAAGGGGCTGGCCTGTTTTTTCTCATGATGTCTTTTCCAAGCACCTATGGCTCAGCTGGGTCCACAGCATGAGGCTTCAGGAAAGTCTGATGCTCTGAGGTCTCTGGAGTGGAAAGTTGCACTGAAACGGAGCAGCCTTCCATGTGCAACAGTCACAAGCTGCCCCTCCTGTGAGAGCAGAGGCCATCACCATTGCTGGGGAAGCTCGCTTTGTAAAGGACCGAGGCAGGAAAGGCTGTTTCCTGATGTCTTGGGGCCAGCCGCTAACCCATTGGAAGGGTTAACTGAGCAGGAGAGGACCACAAGGCCTTCCGAAGGCAACTGCTTAGGTGACATCCTCTGCTCAACCTCCAGAGATGGAGAAAGACGGGAAAAGGAGCACCACAGGCTTGTGCCCAATGGGGTGTCTAGCTCCTAGGCAGGTGTCACGGAATTCAGTTTTACACAACTTGAATGCAACAGACATTTAAGACATATTTTATGCATTTAGAGTAAATAACAAGGTTAGACTGTAGGATTTTTAACTGCACTGAAATAACATTTAATCATCAGCCAATGTAACAGAATGATTTCAATATAATTTTACAATAGAAATAGTGAGTTAGTTAAAGGTTTGAGAAATGCAAGGTTCACCAAAGATTTACAACACACTTTGATTCTGAATAATCATTTGGTTAAAAAATAAAGAAAAAAGAAAGAAAAAAGAAACATACTGGCACAGTTTTTGAAAGACAATTTCAAAGTGTCAAAGCAGATGAAGTACATAAATGCTGAGAATCTAGGTAAAAAGAGAGGGAGAAAAATAAGGAAAGCTCTGCTATCTGGATTCACAACTTCTCTGTTAGTAAAGAGAAAGTCCCACAACCTATGGGATGTATTTGTTAAGTGGCCACATGGGAAGCTGTTTTTTTTTTGAACCTCCTGGCTTGAGCTTGCTGCATTCGCATTCCCAACAAGGAGAACAGATCCAGTGCAAGCATCAAAGTGTTGCCCATGCTGCCTGGAGAGCCAGGACAGTCGAGTCACACACTAGCCAGTGTCTGAGGGAAGCTGGGGGTAGAGGGAATTGAAATGGTTTGGACTTGAGTGGAGTCTCCAACCCTGAGCTGGCAGGACAGCACCGTGTGACACAAGCTCCCTGACACACCTGTGAGTCCAGAACTTGTTGGCAGAGTTTCTCACACAGCTCACTGAGGAGGGAAGGGTACTGGGGAGAGGGGAACATGCTTCAGCTTCCCAAATCCCACGACAGTGCCCAAAGCTTCCTTCTCTTGCCCTCAGGCATCCCATTTCTTGAGATGTAAACCTGGTGAGGCTTCTGTCAAGAATCCTTCAATCATCCTTCATGTGTCTTTCTGATTTCCCTAAAAGTCTCAATACCTACAGAATAAAAGCATGAATCTACCTACATTTAAACACCTGCAATGAAGCAGACTACCTCTGTGGTATCCACTCAGAGCAATGCCAATTAAATGAGTGGTTGCAATGTGAGACATGAAGCCCTGTCTCTAAGTACGTATCTACCAGGCTCTGATGAAGGGTGCTTTTGCAGAGGTCGCCCTTCATCTCTTCAGGTGGCACAGACTCTGTTGATTTCCCTCTGCAGTGAATGGCAGGGGATGGATCCACTTCTCAGGAGAGACTCCTTGCTCTAAAGCCACAGGACCAGGAACAGCAGTGAGAAACAAGGTCATAGCTGATGGCTTGGGAAGTCCTTACAAGCATGTGTGAGCTCAGACATGGAAAGCAGTTGGTGTCTGTGGATGGAGGGTAATGTTTTTCCTGGGAATGTGACAGGAAGGAAGACCCCTCCAGCACAAGTCAGGGATGACAGAGGTGTTTCCAT